AGGTCAAACAGCGAGTAAGAAAGTATACTCAAGCACTTAAAGGTAAAGGAAGAGGCTAAAACTCTGGAGAGAGAAAGATACCAAGGAAGGAAGGAACAGGGAAAATAAAATCCATCAATGACCTTACCCCTTGGCAGTAGAGAAAGTTACGAAAAGACTGGAGAGCTAGAAGTAAAAAAAGTTACCACAAGAAACGTGAGTTACGCGAACCCGTGCAGTGTGGAAACAATGCGTCTGCACTCGATGCGTGAAAATTCAGCGCAAACCCCTACGCAAAAGAATATTTCAGCGACGCCAACATCAGGGAGATCCTCAGCGGGTAAAAAAAGATCAAGAAGAAACAGAAGAAAGTTGAGATTACAGATTCAAAAACTAAAAAAATAACTTAATACAGAAAATCTAAGAAAGAAAAATACAAGCAAAAGTTTTATAGAAATCGAAACTCAGACAAAGAATCTCCAAATTCTAATGTTCAGAGAATGATTGATGGCCAAATAATTTCAAATGAGATTAAGCAAACCTAATTTTTTGGACCAGTTTTATATACCCAAATAAAATAAAATGTATTGGCCAAAAATAATAGAGAAGAAAGAAGGAAACTGATGGTGGTTGTTTCAGGAAGAGTATTAAAAAAATACCTTTTTCACGAAAGACTTAAGATTCTAGTACCTAAGCGTCTCATGTACATATATCAAATGATGATTCAAGCCGAATATGCCCCTAATAAGTCATGACCACTACATTAGATACTTTCCTAGAACATACATTAGTTCAAAATAAGAAAATAGTAAAAATTATTGCAAGTTTTTTAGCAGCACTTTTTGTTGTACATATATCCCCTTTTTAAAATAATTACCCAGCTGCGATATTCACATGACTAAGGCCCCATCTTACTAAAAGGAGATCAATGCTTGATCCGGATCAAAATGAACTAGTGAGAGGTATATTTCTAGTAATGAATCAATTTTTTCTAAAATATCTCTCAAACCAGTGAAAAATATACGATTTCTCCGCAAATCCGCATATTAAATCAAGAAATTCTTTATAAATCTTCTGGTTTAGCAACAAAAACATATTTTTTCGGTTGATCCGGATCAACAACGACCAATTAGAAAGCGTTTTAGTAAACCTGAATCAAAAATTGGCCAATGGGATGGCACCCTTTAATCCTTGCTCGAATCGTGGATCAAATCTGATATACTCGTACTGCCTAGATTGATATGACATCAATTACAGAGCACTTTATTGAAAAGAACAGTATACTGCTTACCTGAGAGGGATAATCTTGGGGAAAAAAGTACCTTTTTTAAAAAAAGCATCATCGCGTCGATTGTAAAATTCATGCAAAGTAGTGGAAATCATATTTTTAATAAAAGTATTTCAGTATGCATATAACGTACGTACGTTTCTTGGAGAAAAGAAAGAGCACAGGAAAATCTTTATTATATTTGAAACCAGTACTACCTTGTGCGTGTTTCATCAGTTCAGAGGCCTAGTCACAGGACTGGCCAGTGCTTCCACCTAAAATTTTTTAACGAAAACGAGCCAGAAGTCGCGGTAGATCCACAGAATATATGTTAGATTGGTCAATTACAGTCCATTATTTGGACTCTTTTAATAGAATTGAGAAATGAATGTTATTAGGTTCAACTACTATATGTTAAAATAACAACCATTTTTGTGAATATAGATTATTCATGTTTACTGTTATTAGACTGGCAGCACTACAAATCTTTCAACTGTTAATAGAAGAGGAAAACACAGGTATTAATTATGGTGATTCAACCCCATGAGGAATATGTACATCAATGCACAAACTCAGTATTCACACCGAAACTTGCTATAATAATTTGTTACAAGCATGAAAGAAATCTGAAGTTGTTGTTCGCCGATCAAGTCTGATCTCACGATGTACGAAAAATGGAATCTCGCTCCTAGGTGGGTGTTTAGGTTCAAGGCTTTTTTATTATATCACCGGGTATTTATCCTAAGCATTTAAAATGTCCACAGAGAATAAAATACGAATATTATCAAATCCTGACATCGGTGACTATGATCCTTCTAGAAATCAAAACACAACTAAAAAGGAAATCGAATTACCCAAGATTCTGAAGCAAATAAAGAACTGAACTGGACCCGAGCCCCTCGTCCCCCCCCAACCAGTGGGTTGAGGGGCTCCTTATTCAGAAAATTTGGTTACAAAAAGAGTTACTTATTTTGAACGTGATACGAGTTGTTTATGTGTTTGTGGTGACTGTTACAGAAATCAGACTCGAGAAACAGAACATTTACAGAGGCACTTCTTAAACACTGTCATTGAAAAGTAAGCCTATGGGGGTCGTCGCGTCATGGGCTGTCACAGTGGGACAGTGATGGGATTTATATATCGATATTTACTACCTGTATTATTCTCAAATATACTGATTTACCGTATCAAATATCAATGATATATATTTTTTCGAATCAGCATTTCGCACGGCTATTACGTATCTTGCAAAGTGACATTATGTCGATTTTTTTGACATTATATTATTTTTTGTGACATTGTGTAGGTTTTTCGACAAGATGTTAACTAGATACTGTACACAGTGTGAACTTGTTTTGAAGTTGTACGTGTTGCCTAAACGTCATGAGACTTCAATTATCAATGTTTCGCTCTGATGTGATGTAAGATCTGCTTCAGAGATGGATTAATGGAGGTGACGGCAATGCATAGATGGATAGTGAGGATTTGTGTTAATAATGTTTGTGTGTGTTGATGATAATTCCATTGGATTCTTGTCTAAAATACACTTACTTGAGATCCAAAGCTAGAAATTATTTGCGCATTCACTTTTTCTTATCCATTCTCAAAATTACATATGCAATTTTGCGGATTTTCAAAAATGAGAGAGATAAGAAAAAATTATATTCACTGCACACTGTCGAATTTCAAGTCATATACTCGTAGATGCTAACAGTGATTACATACAACGCGGGCACGGTGGTGACTTTCCTTAATTCTCCTCAAAGTTTTTGGAAACAAAAAATCGTAATTAAGAACTTTGAACATAACCTCTTCAGAAAGGACAACATGTAAATAACCCATCGGGCTCTGCTGATAGATATATACGCTTCATTGGCAGCATATTCAGTAATGATTTCACATAGCTAATATCATGTACATGCAGACCAATACACACAATCATCCAGACTCGATCTAGCTATTCAACCAACTTTCTTCTCAGAGATAAAGGCTATAAACTACTCGGCTTCACAAAACATATGCAACCAGCAATGCGTGTAGTTGAGCTATTTCTCTATAGATGGACACTCACAGCGATTGTAGTGAGCAAACGTGGAATGGCTGTTTGCACCTTTAAAACTACCGAGTCTGCAAGATGACATTTTTTTGGCGTTTTATTGGTTTTTTACATAATACCCGTGCCGATCTCCCGAATATTCGAAAAAACAAAACGTCCCAAGAAAAATTTAAATAATAGTAAGATTAGTTTCATCCAATAGTTTACGTTCAAATTTATTGATAATTGTGATAAATGGCATGTAATATTTCCAGATACTAATTAATTTTAAATAGTGTGGAATAACTATGTTGTACAAAATAAAACGGGTCTGTCTATTATACTAGAGAAAATTCAGCTTCAATGCCATTGACCTGCATTGATTATCATAAATATCGTTATATTGTTATTGTATCCCAAAATAGTAAAAATCTTAAATGCGTATTCGAATATCGTTATTATTTGAATTTTAATACACCGACAAAGAGGCACAAGAAAGAAGCGTTTCCATTTTGTATTTTGCAGATTTTATGTAATTACATACCTCTATTTTTGTAGTAGAATTTCCTATCTGTTTCTACCATTTTTACTAATGTGTTATCAAGCAAATGCAACAGTATATATTCGTTTAAGCCAGATACAGGTGTTTAAAATAAGTGTAAACCAGAAACATCTCTATTTACCTTGAAGGACGGTATACGGATTAGGTACAGTAGCAGGAATATAGATAATTAAGAAGTTTGTTGAAGCCTACACCTAATTGGCTACGGATAAACCATTTCTTCAAATCTCTTAGGAGTTTATTTTGAATTGGGTTCTATCATTTACATGTAGGTGGGATTCTGATGGTTGTTTCCGACTTGCCAATTTTTGATCCAGTTTTATTAAAACGCTTTTGAATTGGTCATTTTTGATCCGGATCATAGGCTCTGATCTCCGGGTCAAGTGAAAAAAAATATGTTTTTGTAGCTGAACCAAGTGATTTATAAAGAATTTCCTGATTTAATATGGGGATTAGAGGCCCTTCTTCTAAAATTGGACGTTAGTGGTACGAAATATATGTGTACCAAATTTAATTGAGGTTGGACAATATTTAAAGGTTCCGCACGTTGACCACTTTTATCTCAAGTTAGTAGTAGTAGTGTTATTCGGGCTACGAGACAATGGGTGATATGCATAAAGGCGAGTGGCTACTTTTGAATCGCATTTTTAAAGTAGCCACTCCATTTGAGATGCATAAAAATGTAAGTAGAAGCTCACACTCATAAGTTTCTACTCTTTCCGTGAGGCTGTACTCGCTCCTTGAGTGCCGACTTCAATTTTTATATGCATAAAAGCGAGCGTCCACTCCGACCGCTGAGTACGTACTTAAAGAAATGCGAGATACCTTAGTAGTAGACTCAGCTTTATAAGAAGTGGATGCCTTCACGAAATGGCCGAATTTATGCCTATTTATCAACCTACGAAGGTGTTTAAAGCTCGTAGGGAATCAAGGGAAGTAGACTATCGGGCCTTATATCGGTTTAGTAAAGTTAAAATAAGTAATTTAAATAAGTAACCATTTTCTTGGAGAGACAGAAGAATATAGGGGCGGTGTTTTGAGCAATATAGAAAGAATGAGGGTTTTTTTAAGATATGTGGGTGGTCCAGGATTTCAAATTGGCATAGGAGAAGATATTGGTGTCCATCAATCTACGGTACCGTTGCCAACGTTATAACATGCAGTGTGCAGAAGTCGAATATGAAGATTTTGCTGTTGATATACCGGGAGATGGCGAACAAGAAGAAATCCATAATGGAGTGATACGTCAGAGAGGTCAATTTAGAAAAGATGCAATGTCAAGAATTATTCATGGCTTTCGGGTCTAAGTAAGTATCTAGCATGATCTAAATTTAAAAATTATGTAGATATACGTTGAAGAACGATTTTTAATTACTCATGACAAAATTAATAACATTTTCAAAATGGTAAGTTAAGAGAAAGTCCTTAAAATTAATAAAAAATAACAGTTATGAAACATGAAGTATTTCTGTCAGTTCTGTCCTGGAAATAGGCTCATGAAAATTGGATTTCCAGTTTCTGCACTTTCATTTAAAGTTGATAAATTTGGATCAAATTCATTAATATTTTTCTTGTGAAGTAGCAGTTCCTTAGCTAGCCGAAACACTTGTAGTTGTTCAAGTAAAACGAGACGTTGGAGCTCTGTTATTGATAAATCTCGTGTTTCATCGGTTTCCACTAATCCTCGTTTTCCTTTTTTTTAGAAGGCTCCTTACTGGGTCCGGCTTTCATTGTGGTAGCTTTCAGTACTGGTCCTGCACTTCCAGATGCTTCTTCGGTGATTGTTTCTTCTTCAGCATAGGAGTGTAATCAACGCTTTTTTTGTGGGCAACCTGCCACAACAGCACCTAAAATTTAAAATATATGCTATTTATATTTATTGACATGTATATATATATATATATATATATGTATATTATACTCAATCACATCTTATACCTACTGTATGGAAAAACCAAAAAATACAATTAACATTGCAATCGAGCAATACTAGGATTTGATTCTCCTTGTAGAAAATTGAGCAGTTCTTGTTCCCATCCTTTCAATTTTATTGGTTTGTTTCCGGTATGATTTCTGTCTGTCTTCGCATTTAATCTGGTTTTTATGTTTTGAATCTTCTTCCAAATCTGCCCTTCATTATATTTAACTCCTAATTCGGCTTCTACCGTTTCTTTTATTTCTTCACCCGCCTTTCGTCGTTTATTTTTGATTTCCGGGATGTTAGATTTTTCCAACAAAACAGGATACTGTTTAATTATATTAACAAATACTGTTTGATTTTCAGATGAATGGTCTTCAGAATAGGTTGACATCATGTAAATGAACAAATAATAATCGACCTAAACACCACCGACACAAACGTTTACCGGTATACAGTAGTAGCTGCTCGCAATAGAGAAATTGCCAATTCGGCGAGACAACAAAATACAAGTCGAAACTCGAAAACCAGAGTGCCTACTCAAGTATTTGATTAGAACTTGAGTAGCCTCTTCGTTTCTCGATAAATATTTTATGCATATCAAAACCGAGTAGGCTCTCCCTAACAGGAGGAGTTACTCGCTACAATATGGAGTCGCTACTTCTGAGAACCCACTCACCTTTATGAATATCACCCAATATCATTAGTATACTAAGTGACATATAAATCCGAACACCCAGTTTAAATGGTTTTATTTTAATAAAAGTTGGTGAATGTATTTATCTTACTGTAAATAACAAGTGAAAAATTTTTCAGCCTTATCAGTTGGACATTCCGGTTTTTATACTGCTTTTTTTTAATTCACTAACGCTCTAAAAATGAATATTTCAGCCGCAGTAAAGAATCAACGTTGGCGGATTTTGGTTCTTGCCATCCTTTACGATCGGTTACGATGCCTAGAGTACGGAGACCTGTACGATTTCGTCAACTTAGTGAGTTTGATAGGGGCCGTATAGTGGGACTTCGGAAAGCTGAACTTTCTTTTCGGGCAATTGCAGTTAGAGTGCAAAGAAGTGTAGACACTGTGGTTAGGTGTTGTCAGGCATGGCTTCGAGAAGGCCGTACGCAAAGAGCAAGGGGCACTGGACGCCGCCGTAGAACAACAGACCATGAAGATCGCCGCCTAAGATTATTGGCCTTAAGGGACCGTTTCTCCACTACCAGGTCCATTGCAAATGAATCATTTGCAGAACACGGAAGACCTATTGGCATGCGAAGTGTTTACCGACGAATGAGAAGTTTTGGCTTGTTTTCATACCGGCCACACTGGGTTCTCCCTTTAACTCGAGAACACCGACGTAATCGCCTTGAGTGGTGCAGACAACGGTCACTCTGGGATCCGGAATGGAACAGTATTGTCTTTAGTGACGAGTCTCGATTTTGTTTAGGCATGCACGATGGTCGTGCCAGGGTTAGAAGGCGACGTGGTGAAAGGAGGAATCCAGAGTTTTTTGTTGAAAGACATGTTCATCAACCTGTTGGAGTTATGATTTGGGGTGCTATGCTTATGGTTCCAGGTCACCTTTAATCTTCATCAGAGGTAACATGAACGCGCAGCGTTATATCCACGAAGTTCTAGAACCCCATCTTTTACCCTATCTTGACACCCTGGCAGATCCAACTTTCCAACAAGATAATGCCCGACCACATGTTGCAAGAGTCACAATAGACTTCTTTCAACATAATGATGTCACATTGTTACCATGGCCACCAAGATCTCCCGACTTATCCCCTATTGAGCACGTATGGGATATGATGGGTAGGAGATTGCTCAATTTGCAACGTCCTCCTCAGACTCTAGAGGCACTTCGAGAGGAGTTGGTGGTTGCCTGGAATGAGATACCACAGGAGGACGTTGACCACCTGATCAGAAGCATGCCTAGGCGCGTTCGAGAATGCGTAGCACATCAGGGTGCAGCCACACATTATTAAAGGTCAAAGGGCTTTAAACCAGTGCGATCATTTTGAAATTTTTAACATTTACTTATTATGCTTCATTAAGTACTTATACAAAATTTTATTAAAATAAAACCATTTAAACTGGGTGTTCGGATTTATATGTCACTTAGTATATGTACCAGAATAGAGAAGAAATGTGGGCGAGAATTATTGTGGCGGGCTTGTCGTCATCATAGTCATGCATTGACGCTAAGTAAGAAGTGTTGTAGTCTACCATCAAATAGTCCTGATGTCAAGATATTTCGGAATTTACAAAGTCTGTGGTCTACGCTTGATAGGAAGTTATTTATAACCCGGTGGTTGAATAAACTCCTGATTCAAGACTCTTAGTATGCGGTGGTAGTTTATTTCATATCGCGATCCTAATAAATACTGATGTTTTTTATTCATATTTCTTGTTTCATATCTATGCATCTCATACTGAAGAGTCAGTGACAATCAATACGCTTTCCAGAACAATAACAGCAGGAAAAGTTAATATGCTCAATTTGAGAAAAGCTTCTCTGCCGTCCTCCTGCTAGTATTCTCATAGCCCTCCACTGTAGCGCAAAAACTCTTCCTGCATGAGATATTCCACGCAACCTCTTACAAGCAGCGTTGACATGAGACAACCTCTGAAGGCGAGCATCGGGGTTTATTCATGAAAATTTGATAGTCTCAGGCCTCCGAGACAAAGAAATCGAGTTTTTTGAGTTGAGTTTTGTCAACATTCAGTACAAGTCTGTTAGCTAGGATATTGCTCAGCCGTGATCCATTCCTCCACGCACCTTACAGACCTTGTTCCAAATAAAGTATATGAGTGCCATGTATGAGCATTGTGGCATATAAAGAAAGGGGCCAAGGACTGAGCCCTGAGGCACCACTACCAACTCTCTCTCTCTCTCTGATGACACGGTATCTCTCTGATGACACGGTATCCCCAGGTTGAACTGTCTGGTGTCCACTATCGAGAGAAGACAACTATAAGTCTAAAGAATAATATGAATTTACTGCAGTTTCTTGGCATTTACAGAGACGCAAACGTCTTAGTCACAGTTGTCACGAGACACCTTTGGTATTTGTCAGAGACAATAATGTGGCAATGGCTTTGAATTAACGTTTTAAAGAGAAATTTAAAGAAAATATAGTTGAAAAAAAAGAGAGAGGATATGAAACCAGTAGAGGGTAAAAATATACTTTTTGAATGGAAATACGTGAACCATTTACCGCAGAAAAGCCCAAACCTCCTTTGAATTGTTTGGTATCTAAGTCGTGACAGAATACTGCAGCGATTTTGCAAGGAACAATATGAATGCTTTTGAGGTTGTTAATGTTATCATAGAAAGGAGAATGGCTGTGATATCAAAATTTCATAGTCGAACAACAGAAATAATTCTTATTGAGGGTAATCGAGTATCACAGAAAAGTCGTATCCAAATGCACAAAAAAAAAGGAATTGTATCATACAAAACTGATTATTAGACAAGTGTTTACATAATGATAATGCCTGTTAATCCCAGTACTTTAAAATTTCATATTTTTCCTACTTTCATCAGTGATCAAAGCTCGCAGCCTCTAAATGTAATCCAATCTATCTGGCAAAATTGTGCATTTTATTTTTTTGCACCTAGCATATGATCTTAGGCGTGGAATACAACTACTCACCATAGATTACAGCTGTGGTGTTTGGCACCACATTGAGGAGCGATTGCGCCAATATGGAGTAAAAAAACAGCATCAAAGTAGGTTGACTGCAATTCCCACGCAAGGTCGTCATCAACTCATAAAGGATTGTATTCAGGCACAAGTTAGACCCTCTGAGAAAAAAATAGTTACAGTGTACATAATTAGTACATAGACATTCTTACACTGCCCGTCCAGTAGTCTATCTGGCTACGCCGCCTTTCTCCGACATCGTATCAGACGCGGCAGCATAACAGTAGGGCTAGAACACCTACAAACACCGGCAGGGGTACTATTCGTCATTGTCTGTCAGAGCGGTCCGTAGGACCTTTGCTCTTGGTTGAAGTTTTGTAAGTAAGTAGGTCTGTCAGGTCTGGTTGCCCAGATACCAAACAAAGTCAGGGAGAAAGAAGGGAAGAAGAAAGGAAGGAAGGAGGGAGAGCAAAGAAAAAAAAGAAGTGCATCAATTTGAGGGGTGCTAAAATTAATTTTGGGATTGGTTGTTGAAGAAAAATTATCATTTTGGTTGGACCTAAAGTCGCACGATTTAATTTTGTTCACAGTGCGAGTCGCGGCCTTGTGTGCTTGCGAACTTGCTCGACTGTGTAGTCTATTTACTCGCGCAACAAAGGGTTGTTATGCGATTCTGCTTGACTGTAACATAGCTGCGCTTGTTGTTTGATGTAGTCCCTTAGGTAAGGGATGTCAAGGTCTCTGTGAAGGGTCTCGTTGGAAACATACCATGGAGCGTTAGTGATTGTACGCAAGGTTCACACCAAGCCGCACTTGCGTAAGTGATCGCTGGTCTAATAACCATCTTGTATAGCCGAACTTTGTTGATCAAACTTAATTTTGATGTTCTACATAGCATAGGGTAGAGTTGCCGAAACGAGATTTGGAATTTAGTTTTCAACGCTTCAGTGTGATACTGCCAGGTTATCCCCTTGTCAAGAGTGACACCGAGATACTTGGCAGAGCTTTCCCATGGTACCCGAGCTCCATTCACTGAAACCTCAGACGGAGCGCCGCTACGTTTTTTAGTACAATAGATTGCCTGCGTTTTCGAATGATTAATTTTGATCAGCCACCGATTCGCCCATTCCAACACCTCGTCCACTGCACTTTGCAGCCTGTCGTAAACTAGATCACCAGAGCACGACTGGGCCACCAGGGCAGTGTCATCAGCATAGAGATAGGTTTCACTGCTGCTGGGGCAAGGGACGTCATGAATAAAAAGTGAATAAAGGACTGGTCCAAGAACCGAACCCTGAGGGACACCGGCTTTGATGGGCCGTGTTGTCGACAGAACGTTATTAATTTTGATCCAAAATTTCCTATCGTCGAGAATGGATTTCAAAAGTTTTAGGAGCCAGAAGGGGAAGCCCTTATGGATCAATTTGTAGAGAAGGCCCTTGTGCCACACCTTGTCAAATGCCTTTGAGACATCCAGTAGCAAGATGCCAGCACTTTCATTACGGGTGAACCCCCTGGTTACTCGTTCAACAAGCCTTATGGCCTGTAGCTCCGTACTATGCTCAGACCGAAAGCCAAATTGCACGTCAGGAACCACATTGTGGTCTGCCGAGAAATTTTCAAGGTGACGTAGAATCACCTTTTTAGCGAGCTTAGAAGGAGCTGACAGTAGACTAATGGGGCGGTAATCCTGGGGGAATATCGAACCCACCTTCTTTGGAATCATTATGACATCAGCGGTCTTCCACGCCGTTGGGAAGTGCTGGGTCCTTAGCATGGCATTGATTATTGCCACGCGATAAGTTAAGGACT